GAAGTAAATTCTGACTTATAGCAACCCCATAGGACAGAGTAGAACTGCCCCATATGGTTTCCAAGGAGCAGCTGGTAGATTTGAGCTACCAACATTTTGGTTAGTACCTGAATGCTTAACCACTGTGCCACCAGAGCTCCTTTGCATCTGTAGTCGGATAAAATTTATTTGCATTGCTATAGGACAAAAATCATTTATATTGCTATCAGTTTTTTAGAAGTTAGCATCTATCCTTACAGAGTTGTAAAACACCTTAATCAAGAGTAAAAAGCAAGTCAAACAAAGTTTTCTTAGTAATATCAGAGAGTTTAATTTCATCTACCAGATCAGGAAACTAAAGAAAATATCTGGCTTGATTTCTAAATGCAGAGACAATAGTTTATCAGTAATTTGATACTTTTATACAAAGCTAAGTGCTTTTCTTCAAGTTACTCGCAGTCTCATTATGCAAATATATATAAAATGCTTCTACTTTTTATCCTGTTACTGTTTTAACTTTAAGACTTATTTAGGGTATAGTTTGAGGGATTTATTATTTGGTGATAACAAATAGTCTCTTTGCAGCTTGCTGACCTTGTGAGACCCAAGTATATTTTAGCTGGATCAGGATTTCTAAGTGACTGGTTTCTGCTTAAGTCTTCAAGATAGGTGTTCAAGTTACTTTTGCTGTGTAACAAGTAAACCCAAAACTTAGAGGCTTAAACCAACCATTTTATTGTGCTCATGGAGCCTATAGATCAGGAATTTGTAGAGGGCACAGCAGGGATGTCTTGTCTCTCCCCAGGATATCCGGGGCCTCAGTTGGGAAAACTGGAAGATTGGGGGTGACTTGATGGCTGGGAACTGGAATCGTCTGAAGGTTTGTTCACTCAAATGTGGTTCCTGAGCCAGGCATCTGGGCTGGGCTGAGCTGGGTTAAAAAGCAGGACTGCTGACCAGAACACCTACGTGTGCCCTCTCTGTGTGGTTTGACTCCGTTTCAGCGTGGTGGCCCCCGGCAGTTAGACTTTTTACTCGGTATCTCAGGGCTCCAGGCACAAGTAGTCCAACAGACAAGGCAGAAGAAGCTGCATTGCCTTTCATGACAGCCTCAGAAGGCACAGAACATCCCTTCCATCTATTGTATTGGTTGAAGCAATTAGAATCAGGTTCAAGAGGAGGGAACACAGACCCTACCTCTTGGTAGGAGAGTGCAGGATCACACTGTAGAAAAGACATGGGATCGGAGATATTGTGGCCATCTATGGAAAATAAAATTTGCCACAATGAGTGATTCTTAGTTCACATTAGAATATGAAATGAAATATGTTCTACGGTTGTCAAGGGTATTTCATTATAGTTGAACTGTTGTCATTTAGTTAGTCACACACAATTTCCTTGTGATAGACTTTTCTTTATTTTTTTCTTTTTCCTAGTGTTGCATTTTTAGTTTAGGCTCATTACCTCACTGATAAAACTGTTTTAATATTTAATCTATTCCCTGTTCCCAAATCATTTTCTCAGGTGTCCATCAATTCCCCGTAAGTGGTTAATTTAAAAGGCTTTTGAAGCATGACTGCATCTGGCGAAAGCAAATCTAAATGTCAACCTTGGAAGCATCCAATGACATTCAGATGTATTCCTTTCAGCTCAGGGGACTTGTTTTTCTATTATGTAGCATATCTTGTCAAAAGAGAGCCAGAAATGGGGCCTTTCCCACTCAACATTTTTAGTGTCGTTGAAAGTGCTGGCATTTTAGAGTCAAGCAGAGTTGTGTTAATCCCATTTGCCCCATTTAGTTGTGTAACACTGAGCAAATGTCTTAAAAATTGTGGACTAATTTCCTCATCTATATACTGAGGATAAAAATCCCTACTTTACAGCGTTGTAATAAGAAAATTAAATAATCTAAGAAATTCCTGATATAGGGCCTGGTTATAGTAGGAAATCAATTAATAGGAGCTAATAATAAGAAAAGGAGCTCTGGTAGTGCAGTGATTAAAGCACTCAGCTGCTAACCAAAAGATTGGCAGCTTGAACCCACCAGCCACGCTGTGGGAGAAGGAATGCCAGTCTGCTTCTGTAAAAATTTCTAGCCTGGGAAACCCTATGGGGCAGTTCGACTCTGTCCTAGAGGGTTGCTATGAGTCAAAATTGACTTGACAGCAGTGGGTTAATAATAAGAAAAACAAATAGGAAAATGAGGAGGAAGGCTATGAAAGCTCCTGAGAGGAATCGCAGCTACATACTGAGGGCCTATGAGAACTGCAGAGGATTCTGCCCCACCATCGTCCCCTGGTTCAAACCAGGTGGAATCTAAACAAAAGCATAACTCATTGCAAATCTTCTTTTTCTCTTTTCCTAGTTTGCTCTTCTCTCTCCTTTACTTTTTCCTTCATTTTCTTCTTTTGCTTTTTTTCTTTACCTCTGGTATCTATTCATTCTCATCACCCCTATGTAACTCAGTATTGAGTTCAGCTGCATATTACAGAAAAATCCAAATAATAAAGGCTTAAGCAAAATAGAGGTTGTTTCTCTCACATACTGGAAATCATAGGCATTCAGTCTAGGGGTAATATGGTGGCTCCTCAGTTATCAAGAACCCAACTACCTTCTTGGTTTCTATCGTGTTCCTCTTCTACCCTTTACACATTGATGTATGGCTCCAGCCATCGTTCAAGTTATAGCCATCACGATTGTATTATATGAAGCAGGACAGAGGAAAGATCAAAAAAGAGCATATAAATACTATCCCCCTGCCACCTTTAAGTAGACTCCTTGGAAGTCCCATACTACACTTCTGTTTAATAGTGTTTACATTGAGTAGAACTTAATCATATGACCATACCTGGCTGTAAGAAAGGGGAGGAAAATGGTCTTTCATCCTGGACAACAATATGGCCAGCTAAAAATTGGAGTTCTGTTACTAAGAAAGAGAGAGACAATGGATGTTGGGGTAGCAATATGCTCTTTTTCTCAAAACTCCTGTTGCCTTTTCCTACTCCCATTTTATCTTTGTAAACTCATAGCAAAAATGTCCTTCTCACCCAAGAAGCGAACAGAAGAGGTGATAAAAATGGGGACTTATATAATAAAATGCAAATATATGCACTCATATATTTTAAAATGATTTAATGTTAAATATTAAGAGGGCCACATGGGGGCTATCATTAGCAGGAGAAACTGAATCCCACTAAAAGGAGTTGTGTTCACTCAGATAGCAGCGAGGAACTGAGGAGGCTCAAAACCCTGGGAGGCAGTTATGAGGAGCTATCAGCACTTTTTTTTTTTTTTTTATTGATAAGCATAGAAGAGTGGAGAAAAAGAAACAGGGAGAATAAAACTTGGGGAGTAGATTTCTGGACATGCTGACAGAGAAGGGCAACTCAGTCATGGAAACTGTGTCAGAATCCAAGTATGAAAATCCGGGGAATGTTCATCGTGATTTCCTGTGGGCAGACATGGAATTAGAGTGATGGGGTTCGGGGGGAGTAACTCCTGTCTGGGTAATGAGGCAGAAGCTCACTAAGATAGTGGGCAGGAAGGAGATAAAGCAAACAAAGAAGAGCACCTAGGACTCATTCAGAAAAAGTCCTTGGTCTTTTCAAGACCAAAGAAGAATGAAAAAGAACTTACAATGTGAAAACATAGTAGAAGATTATGAGAATGAGGTCTTTGAACATGGTTCTCAATCCTTGCTGTGCACCTGAATCACATGGGAGAGACTTTTGAAAGGTAGATGCTGAGGCCCCACCCCTAGAGAATCTAATTCAGGTGACCTAGAGTGTGGCCCCAGTGCCCGTAATTTTTAAAAAACATCTATAACCACTGGTCTAGAAGAAAACTAGAAAAGAATTGACTTTAGAGGATTTCTTAAGGCTTTTACTCCCTTCTCAAGTGAATAACATGAGACTGAATTTCTGTATTTCTGAACTATATTTACATTTTCTGTGCCAATAAATTCCATTTCAATAGAATAAATCTTGGGTCAGGTTCTTGCACTGAGTGTGCTGGCTTCATTGGACAGGGTGAGGAAGGAAGTGTTCAACACTGGGATGATTGTTGAAAAAGGTAGCTTCCTCTTCTTTACCCTTTGGGTGGTGGCAGCAAAATGTTCACCTGGGAGCAACAATGAGCCAGGGACGCTAACTTTAGGAGCCTGGGATTGAAGAAGGGCATTCTTTTTGAGGGGTGCTTTGACTCTGCCTGGCTCCCCATGGATGGTGTCTTAGTTGCCTAAGGTTGGCATAACAAAATACCACAAAGTAGATGGCTTTAAAGAACATAAATTTATTGTCTCACAGTTCTGGAGGCTAGTTGTCTAATTCAGGGCATTGGCAAGGCCATGCTCTATCCGCACTTGAGGAAGATCCTTCCTTGTCTCTTGCAGCTTCTGGTAGCTCCAGGGGTCTCTTGGTATTTCTTAGCTTATAGATGTATCTTGGCTTATACATGTGTCTTCACATGATGTCTTCACCGTGTGTGACCCTTTCTTCATGTCTGTTCTCTCCTTTTATAAGACCTCACTTAGGAAGGATTACGATCCATTCTACTCTGGCATGACCACATTAACTGATCACATGGTTCGGAGACAAACCCTATATCCAAACAAGGTCACATTCACTGGTACAGGGGTTAGGACTTCAACATATCTTTTTGGGGGACACAATTCAATTCATAACAGAAGGTGCTTGAGTTGTTAAAAGGGCAGTTAAAAAGAATTGGATTCCAATGAGATGTCCCTTTGACTGACCACCACAAGGCAGTTTACCTCATTCTAAAAAAATATGTATCTATAAAGTATCAAAACTTTGGCAATGTATGCTATGTAAGAAGAAAACACAGAACATAGGATAGAATTTTCTTCTTCTTTGGTCACTTGGCATTTCCTCACTTAAAATCTCTTTGTAATCTCTAATTTTTGTAATAATCATTATAAAGATAAATAATATTTATTGCTTTATTTTAGAACTATGAGAAAGCTTTAATTGACCTGGATTTATTGTCTTTCTGTGTGGCAGGTGGTGAAGTTTACCAAATCCTTTGAATTGATGTCCCCAAAGTGCAGCGCCGATACTGAGAACAGGTAGGGCTTGTGGGTTCCATGTTTGGCTTTTGATACTCTTTGGTCCTTGGTGTTAGCATTGCATAATTCTTTGAAGATAAGGGTTGAGTCTTTCTCTGTATCAGCAAGTGTAACCAAATATTATTACTTTTGTGTATTTCAGGGCTTAAATACAAACTATAGTATAAAAATACATGCATATATATCTAGCTTATGATCAATTTTTAAGACCAAATCTTAGTATTTATTTTATGATTAAAATGTTGCTTTTAGTCCCTTATTTCCCTGAATCTTGTCATGTTTTTTAAAATAAATCTTAGAATATTCTGATGATTTCTGGACCTTGTATTGAAGTCTTTTATGCAAGTTAATATGGAATGGCGATGGAGCATACCTGTTTTCTTTTAGCCAGCAGGTTTAATTTCTCCTCATACCAAACATTTAACTGAAATTGCTAAGAAAGCCAATTTTTAGACATTTTCTAACTCTGCAGATAGCCTAACTTTCTGCCTTATTCTGGCCCTTTCTTTCTCTTTTTTCCCGTTTGTTTTTCTAATATTTGACTGACAACATCCCCTTATAAAAAATAGTGAGAGTTTCTAGGAGTTCAATTTTTGTCCCTGTTGGCATTTCTGAGGCTATAACAGGATAAGAGTGAAGATTAAGGACAACCAGCAAATTTCTGTTAGCTTTGCACTGCCCTGAATAAGAAGAGCTGGCTGCTATAAAAATGGATTCTCTTTACTTTCATCCCCTCTAGAGGAAGGGCTAAAAAATAGTGAAATTGATCAAAATGCAGAGATATGGAGAAAGACAGGTAAAGTACCTGGGATAACCTGATGATGATGATGACAAGGGTGAAATTACTGATGCGAATGCTAAAGATATGAGCAGCTTCCATCCATTGAAGGCTAAGTGTGCCAGGTACTGTGCTAAATGCTTTACATGCATTTAATTCTCCATGAACTAGACATCCTTACCGCCTGCATGACAGAGGAGAAAATCAAGGTTCAGCAAGTTTAAGTAACTTGTTCAAGGCCCTGCAGCCTGTAAGTGGTAGCCATATCCAAGGGCAAGATCATATGGGTAAGACTCTCCCAACCTCTGAACTTTGATCCCATTGCCACCCACAATTTAAAATCTGGTAGTTGATCTCATATGAGGAATAGCTCTTGGATTAGTGTTTCCCAAATCTGGCTGACCTTCAGAATCAGCTTGGAGAACTTGGGAAAAAGTAAATTCTTGGTATTCACATTGAGAGATACTGATTCTTTACGTTGAAAGTGAGTTCTTAAAGATCTATGTATTCAAAACGCTCCCCAGGTTTTACCTGTATCAATATGTAATATGCAAGGGTAATTTGATTTTATGTATCTATTATTGCCTGTGAGTTCAGGAAATAGAAATCAGTAAATTAAAATGGACACTTCAGTACTTTTTACCAAGTGCATGATGTTTATAAGAGGCCTTTTCTACATACTGTATACTTTCATTCATAGGATATTCTTGAAAAGGCAAAATTATAGGACAGAAAACAGATCAGTAGTTGTCAGGGGCTGGAGGTAGGGAGAAGGGTTGAATATAAAGGGGTGCAGGGAAATTTTGGAGTGTGATGGAACTGTTTTGTATCTTGGTTGTGGTGGTTATAGAACAGTATACATTTGTCAAAACTTATAGAACTGTTCACAGGAAAAGGGTAAAATTTCCTGTATATGAGTTATACTTTAAAATGAGAAAGAAGAGGCCCTTTAGAAGTGGTTTTTAGTTACATTAAAGTGTATTATGTGCATATCTATATCTAATGTCAGCTAATCTATACCTAACAAAGATACTTAGGCATAGAGAGTTATTAGTGACATACTCAGCAGTTTTCCTAAGTATAATGCTGTAAAATAACTATATATATGTAACATATATATACATATATGTATGTGTGTATATATATATATAGATAGATAGATACATAGATATTCAGCTGATTAACTAGCCATGACCTCATATAAATTATATTTCTCGTATATGAGGAGAAAAAGCTTTATGGGGTTATTAAAATCCCAACTTTAGGAATTCTAATGCTTCAGTATTATTCTTTTTTATAGAGCTGAATCTGTCCCCATGGTCAGGGCAGAGTTAAATACTTCTGGCCTTTTGAAGATTTTTAATGGTGAAAGAATTTCCACGTCAAAACTAAATGACCCAAGGCCCAGACTGCCCTTGGCAAACTTTCTGATAATAAAAAAAGAAAGGAAGAAAGTAAGGTCAGGTTTTCTTTAAAGAGACATTTAAAAAGTACCTTTGAACTTCAGCATTATGAGATAGTTCTCTCCATCATTCTATTTATGGCCTTTAAATTAATGTAGCATGTACATTTATCTCAGAAGATCTTCCCTGGATAGTCCAGTAGTTTTCCTCTTGTAGATGTGGGATCCTTCAGTCATTTACTGGAAGTTAAAGGAATAAAGACAAGTGACTCTAGCATTTACTTGGTCAGTGGCCATGGAAGAGACATTGAAACAGGCTATGAGTCTACAAATCACAGCCAACTCTCAACATGTCATAAATCTTTCCTTTAAGCTTTCATTGCTTAACATCTTTGCTATAGATAATGTCCATTAGACACTTTAGTCCTTTGGATATCATTTACAAGAGGTATAATAGGATAGCTTTTTAAAGAGAATTTCTATGGCTTCTTGAAACAAAGTTTCAGGGTACTATTTCAATTTTGATGAACTTTGGTTTGGGGCTTGCCCATTTTTATAGACAGTCCTTGAAGATTAAAAAAAACAATTTTTTTTTTATTGCTGACTCATCATTTCTGCATATTGTCTTACGTAGCTAACTCCTTTGTCATAGATAGTCTCCTTTTGTTCTCCATGCAATTAATATCAACCAATTCAAAAGCTGGAAATGCTTTAGCTCATTCCTCTCCTCCTCTGGGATATCCTTGATAGCACCTCCAGTAATAAGATTCTCACTGTATCACGATGGACTTCTTCCATTGATGTTGTTGTGTACTGTCGAGTTGATTCCTACTCATAACAACCCTATGTGACAGAGTAGAACTTCCTCATAGGGTTTCCTAGGCTGTAATCATCAGTATTGGAGGAAGACTCATTAACAACCTGCATTATGCAGATGACACAACCTTCTTTGCTGAAAGCAAAGAGGACTGGAAGCAGTTACTGATAAAGATCAAAAACTACAGCCTTTAGTATGTATTACATCTCAACATAAAGAAAACAAAAATTCTCACAACTGAACTAATAAGTAACATCATGATAAATGGAGAAAATATTGAAGTTGTCAAGGAGTTCATTTTACTTAGATCCTCAGTCAATGCCCGTGGAAGTAGCAGTCAAGAAATCAAATGACATATTGCATTGGGAAAATCTGCTGCAAAAGACCTCTTTCAAGTGTTAAAAAACAAAGATGTCACTTTGAGGACTAAGATGTGTGTGACCCAAGCCATAGTTTTTTCAGTCACCTCATATGTGAAAGTGGACAATGAATAAGGAAGACTGAAGAAGGATTGATGTATTTGAATTATGGTGTTGATGAAGAATATTGAGTATATATCACGGACTGCCAGAAGAACGAACAAATCTGTCTTGGAAGATGTACAGCCAGAATCCTCCTTAGAAGCAAGGATAGCAAGGCTTCATCTCAAGTACTTTGGACATGTTATCAGGAGGGACCAGTCCCTAGATAAGGATATCATGCTTGGTAAAATAAAAGGTCAGCGAAAAAGAGGAAGACCCTCAACGAGATGAATTGACACAGTAGTTGCAACAATGGACTCAAACATAGCAACGATTGTGAGGATGGCACAGGACCGGCAGTGTTTTGTTCTGTTGTACATAGGGTCACTATGAGTTGGAACTGACTCGACAACACCCGAACAATAACAAATCTTTACAGGTGCATATCACTGCGTCTTTTCTCCCACAGAGTGGCTAGGGGGTTCCAGTCGCTGACCTTTCAGTTAGCAGTCAAGTGTTTAACCATTGCACCGCCAGGGCTCCTGCTTTCATTGATAGGTAGTTTTAGTTGTTAGAAAGACATTTTTTGTTGTTGTTGTTGAATTACAGTCCTGTAACTTCCACTTGTTCGTTCTAAATTTGTCCATTAGAGACAGTTATTCCTTCATTAATTTTATTCCTTCATTCAACAACCATATATTGAGTACCTACTCTTTGTTGCATACTCTGCTAGGTAATGGGGTTACAGAGATCTTAAAAAAAAAAACCAAAAACCAAAAAACAGTGGTCTCTGCTGTCAAGGATCTCAAAGGCAATGAACAAGAGTGGAAGTAGGTTAAGTCTATAATATATACGTAACCTAGATTTTACCAGGCGTCTAGACTATGGTTATAAATAGTCACACTAACAGTGATGATTCACATCTGGCTACTTGGTGATTTCCCCCTTACTGTGCAAGAAGAATCTGAGCCCCTTGCAAAGTCCATCCCTGAAGTATTTCTTAGAGTCCCAAAGATTTTTTAAAAAGCCTCCCCTTTTTGCTGACTCATCATTTCTTCCAGGCACTCACCTGTAAATCCTCACCTCTGGACGTGGCAACTGCTGGGTATGGGCTTCCTTGCCCACTCCAAAATTCCCATGGGAATAACTGGCCTTCTCAACAGTGCTATGCCACAAATCCCTAAGCACTGTCTTTGATGCACTGGTGGACTTCCCAAACCCCAGCAGGGCTGGATAATTTGTGCAGAAGCAGGAAGAAAACTCAATTCCCCTATGATGTGTCACAGGTTATTGTCTGACCCCTAAGCAGCCTTGCATATACCCCATTTTTTACAAGGCTTTCTGTTCCTAAAGCCCTTATTTGTAGTCCCTCTTTCTACAGAAGACTTAGACTTAGTCCATGGGGCTAGGCTTAGGAACCGGACCACAGGTTGTAGGCCAGCCACTGGGTTGTTCTCTCCTTCCCCACTTTACTTCCATCTAAGCTCAGATGCTCAAAACTTCCTCCACACATGCCCTTTCTCTCCATGCAAATCAACTCAT